GTCTATGGACTATATAGCCCCAAAGGCAAATAGGAATTGTGTGGTGTGCCCTGGGCTGTAACTGAACAGGGAGGCCTAGAAACGGTGGGGCCACCCAGTGTAATAAATGCCAGATTGAAGAGGAGCTTAATCGCTCTCTCCAAACAGCGAAAGCATAATCTACTGTCCCCATGAAGGCAAAGGCTGCAGGATTAAGTTTGAGAGGATCTAGCAGGTCCGGGTGGACACAGTCTATGTGACCCCTCGCCCACCTAAGAAACACGACGGTGCAGCAGATCCTCTGTCACTCGAGCACTCGCTGTGATGGGGCTTTTCCCATTAGAATTAATCGACTGAAACGGCTTTATCACATCCTTCTGTGTCCCATTTTCCATATGGCCAATTATATATTCGTTGATTTTTAATATTCATGTACTAAAGCCTCCAATCTGCAAATGGTTAAAAAAATAATAAAAAAGAAGAGCATTTTCAAAGGCCAATGCAGACACAATGAACTAGCTCAGGAATTTATCTGGACCTAATGAAAAGATGCCTGGGTGACAGAGGGATTTGAAAATGCCCGGGAATTATCAAGTAGATAGAATTCAAACTTCAAAAGCCTTGACAAAGTGGAATTAAAAAAAACAAACAGGTACTCATGAAAGCTAGAACCCTATCTGAAAAAGCATAAATCTGATGCAAATTGAAATACAAATAAATGCAGATAAAAGAGTGCCTTGGTGGGAGGGGGGTGCTGAGTGGGATGTATTTGTATAGATCTAAGCCAAAAGTAAATAAACAAACAAAAGAGGAAATATGAGTTCTTACCTTTGGGAAGATCTTCTCTATTTTGACATGGACATATATGGGAATGAGAAGATAAAAGTCTAGCCAGGCTCAAGATTGCCAGAGATATAAACCAACCCCTTCATTTGACAGATGCGAAAATTGAGACCAGAGAGACCAAAGGTCGGTTAGAGGGACGAATGAGACTGGAACCTGGGGCTTCCAATTTCTAGTCACTGGCTTTCTCCATTCTATCCACTCTGCCAGTTTACTCAAGAAAAAATAGGGATAAACTCCTAAGGAAATAATTCTGCAGAAGCAGAAACTGTATGCCCAGCATTCTTCATTGCACTGATGAAGTAGGAAATTGAAATTTTAAAGAGGAAATGGTTAATTATCTTAACTTGGCATGATAAAAGTGATAACAATTATTGAAAATGATGGGCCAGGTGCGATGACTCATGCCTGTAATCCCAGCACTTTGGGAGGCAGAAAGATGGCTTGAGCCCAGGAGTTCGAGACCAGCGTGGGCAACACGGCGAGACCCTGTCTCTACAAAAAATTTTTAAAGTAGCCAGGCATGGTGGTGTGCATCTATAGTCCTAGCTACCCGAGACGCTGAGGCAGGAGGATTTCTTAGCAGAAGGATCTCTTAGCAGAAGGATCTCTTAGCTTGAGCCCAGGAATTCAAGGCTGCAGTGAGCTACGATTGCACCACTGCACTCCAGCTGGGAAAGGGGGACCCTGTCTCTGAAAAGAAGAAGAGAGAAGAGAAGAGAGAAGGAAGGAAAGAAAGAAAATAAATGATGATTTAAAGGCTATGTAGAAACACAAAAAACATCCAGGACATAATGTTACATGGAAAAAAGTAGGGTACGAAATCAGAGACGACATAGTGTTTCTCATACCTGAGTGTGACTCCCAGCTCTGCCCTTACCAGCTCCATGGCTTTAAGGAAATCACTCAACCACTGTGAACCTCAATTCTACTGTCTCCAACAGAATAACAGTATCTATATCTTACATGACTACTATGAGGCCAAATAAGAGAATGAATGAGAGAATGTCTGCTATATAGAAATATTCGATGTTAACCACTGTTGTTATAATTATACCATAAATTCAACTATGAATGTACTGGACAAGGATTGGAAAGTGACATGGAAAAATGAAAACAACTGCAATGGGAGGAGGATGAGATTATAAATACGTGTGTTTTTAATTTTCTCTAATAATGTTACATCATTTTCCAATAAGAAAAATGTATTTTAAGTAGGAACCAAAAAAAAAAATCTCATACTGGGGATCTGGGTTTTAGTCTCTGTGTTTCTCTCCAGGGGCCCAGTGCTCCCTGTGCCCAGTTCCTATGGCTGCTGTGGCATCTGTTGGTGGAGAAGGTGAACAGCATCCTGAACCTCTTGGAAAAGAAAAGGGGATGCATTCTAGAATCTAGAAGGTCCTGTCTTGATCAGATCAGACCCTGACAGAACCCTGTAGCTACCAAGTGAATCAGATTCATTCATTCATGCAGACATTCATTCACTCACCCATATACTTTTTGAACCATTACTGTGTGCTAGAAACTGTGCTAGGAGCTTTTAAAGAATTACTCTGACCCAGTAAATGAATTTGGAACAATCTCCAAAATACTATATAAGTGAAAAAAGCAAGCTTCGGAACACTGTGTATAGAATGCTACCATTTGTATTAAAAATAGATATATAAATATACATATTTATAAACTTGTAAATGCATAGAATTGCTCTGAAAGGATACACAAGATGTAGATAATAGTGATTAACTCTGGAGAGGGGCCTGGAGGCTGACCTCCATCGGGAAGCTTACTGTAGTATTTTTTATATACCCTTTTGTATTGTGGAATGACTTACCATGTATATGTATTAATTTTTCAAAACAAATGAAAGAAACTGCCTGGTACTGAATATACAGTGGTGACTGGGGCAGAGGTTCCTCAGTCTTGGGGAAGGCAAAGTACTGAACTTGCTGGGCTATAGTTATTAAGTTTTTAAAAACCAGACTGTTTACGTAAGTTAAGGGGAAAGTTCTTTCTAAAATTAGCTTATAGTAGTTCGGCATACCATTTTACAGAGATAAAGCAGTTGGAAAATAAACACTAGTCATTTGTCAAGCCTTAGAGTGTATTAAATTGTGGTTTCTAGATGGGTGGGGACCGTATCTGTTTAGCTTGGTCAGCAGAGCACTCACTCACTGCAGCACAGTGTGCAGGCAGGTGCTTGTTACGGCGAGCATTTTCTGATGATGACAAATGATAGTGCAACTGTTAACAATATCTTAAAAAAGGAAAGATCAGAAGATATCGAGCTCTGCGGGAACCATGTGTTCCCTGCGAGGGTTGGGCAACCTTTTCTGGACAGTCCTCAAACAGCGACGGTCTCCAAATGGCAAGGCAAACCCCGGTGACAACGAAAGGTGCTAGAGACACCGCATGTGTTTCGGAACGTCACGGGCGTGATGCACAGTCCTCCTTGGCGTGACAGACATATGGAATCCAAAGAGAACCTGATACGTGGTAGGGCACCCCAACCGCGTGGGCAGTAGGAAAGTGAACACCTGGATGGCTGCAAACCACTGACAAGCTGGTGGCCAGTCAAAACAGCCTTGGTCACTAAGGCAGCACTGCGGGTGACAGGCTTGACTCGGCACCATCACTACAGGTGGCCCAGCATGTCATTCAACCTCTCTGAGCCTCAGTTTTCTTCTCTGTATAATGGAGGATAACTATTAGATCTTTGTGAGGATCAAAGGAGAGAATCACCAGAAAGAGGCTGGGCACGTGAGCAGGGCTTTAAATGCTATTGTCATCACTGTCGCTAAATGACAGACGGCTGTCCTGGGCCAATTCATAGCTGACGATCAGCACCGAAGTCTGAACAGCAGACACGGCGCGCTCCACCCTCCGCGCCCTAAGGTCAAGAAAGAAGCCCCACGTTCACATAGCGTTTTATAAACTAGAAGATGACTTCGTGCTCGTGATCTACAGAAGCCTGCGAAGCAAGGTGGATGGGGATGACTGACCCTATGTTGAAGGGGAGCCAGTGAGGTTAGGGGGTTGAGAAATCTGAGTAAGGGCAGAACCAAGGCCAGGACCTGGGCTTCCCAGCGAGTGGCTCAGCACTCTTCCCCACGCTGTTTCCTGAAAGAGATGGATCAGAACGGGTGGTCAAACCTACAACTGCATCACCTCCGCCTGCACTCCAGCTACCGCTGTTTCTGAGCAAGAAGGGACCCGGCCATTCATTTCAAACCCTCCTATCGGAACTCCTCTAGAACCTGTTCTTGTGCATGGACCCGGGGTGCAGGGCTGGCTCACTACACCTGCAATTAGGGACGGGACAACAGCTAAGGTGTAGGCAGCTGGAAATAGGCCCAGCTTGCCCTCACTGCCAGCTTGGGGAGCAGGGAGGTGGTGGCCTTGCCAGGAACAGAGATCATTAAAAGGGTACACAGAGCCAGAGTCTCTCCCAAACTGAGGCAAGAACTAACCTTTCCCACTGCCATTAGCATTTCCACTAAAAACCTGACATTTGATAAAGAAAGAAAATATGTTTTTTTCAATTGTGAAAAGGTCAGGCATATTTATCTGACTTAATAATTTATAATTGATATTTAATGCCTCCCTTGAAAGATCACTTGTAAGAATCCAGCCAGCACCCACTTCCCTTTGCTGCTCTAGCTCCCGCCGGGCATAGCCCATGACACCTGGGTTAGAGATCAGGACACCAGCCTGATCCTCGGGTTTGGCCAGGCCCTAACTCTGCCATCGGCGACAGACAGCCGGCCTCCCCCGTCCAATCCCGATTGTGCCACACCTGAGCTCCCTGTGGCAGTGGCAATACCAAGGTCTCTTGAATATTTCCAGAAAATTACAGAATTCCTCCTTTCCACTCCTTTCCCCCCTCACCAGTAGGGGGTGCTCTTAGGTTGAGAATCCACTTACAGGAAAGATGGAGGTTTCCAGAAAATTTCCATAGGCTCTAAAGCCAATGCCACTAGCCCTGGGGAGACCTTGGAAGTGACTTTTAACTGGTACTGAGCCTCTCCCCTGGCCCTTGCAGAAGGTCTCGGGGCTCCTGGCTCTAAGCAGGAGCAGCACTGCTCTCCCTCAGAGACGGAGCAAACAGGGGACTCCGAGAAGACCCTTAGGTGCAACAGGGAAGGGCCAGGCTCACTTGAAGAGGAATACAAGAGCCTACCTGCATGGTAAGAAGGTTTTTTATTTGAAATATAGTCTGAGCAACATGAGTGTAGCCAAGAGGAGGAGGGGCTGGCCTGCATGGGGCAGCAGCCTCTCTAATGGCACAGGAGCAAGAGTACAAATATCCCAACGTCTGTGTGCCCCCAACCCCACCTGTCAGGAAAGGCAGACCAGCAGAACAAAGACCCACCCACAGCTCCTCTGAGGGGTCTGGCTCGCAGAGCCCTCCTGCCTTTGCTGCACCTCCTGCTCTCCCCGGGTTCCAAACAGTGTGCTGCAGAAGTTTCTCCCACCCACAGAGACACGATGAGCCAGTGTGACAATTAGTTCTCAGGACTATTTGGGGGGAAAAGAATCAGAGAAGCCAAGAAGGAAGGGCAAGGTGACCAAGGGCCCTCACCAAGCCGGGCTGGGCAGAGCTCTCCCAGAGGGGCTGTGTCAGCACCCCTCGTTCCCTCCTTCTCAGGCTCTGAAGGCAGGAAGGAGAGCTGGTATCTACAGGAAAATAGAGCTCTGAGGAGTCCCCTGGCTGAAGGCAGTAAGCGGGAACTTCCCAGAAGAGCACAGCCGCTGAGGGGTTTCAAGCTGAGCTGACAGCACTGGGGTTGGGCCAGGTAGGCAACCTGGGGTTAAGGACACAGACCAGAGGTGGAGTACCAAGCAGCAGCACAAAGCCATAAATAACAGAAGCAAATTCAGAGCTGTCAGGTCCTGGTGACCCCACGTTTCCCGGGGCTGGGGATACCCAGCACCAGCAGCTCGGGGCGGACACTGCTCCAGGGCACAGCCGGCCGCACTCACACCCGGGGCAGAGCCTTCTACCTCCCACGGTCTACACGACAGGCGGAGGACGCCATGGCAGCACCCTGACCGCATACACTGCAAAGCCTCTGGTCACACCTGAGGGGACAGTGCGTGGCTGTCCTGGTCCTGAGAGGCCTGTAGCTGACTCTGAGCATCTTGGGCACCGTCCTCCTCAGGGGCCGGGCCCAGCAATCTCCTTGCCTCTGGGTCGGTCAACAAGGGCTGGCCGGCACACTCTTCCAGTCCGTTCTCTCTCGTCTCCATGGACACCTCCTCCCCAGAGCCCGCCTCTGGCTCTGCAGCCTCCACTGCCACCTCTGCTGCTGTCTCCTCCTCCTCCTCCTCCTCCACTTCCTCCTCCTCCTCCTGGTCTCTCACCTTGTGGACGATGAAGAGGTGGCGGCTGAGGGAGCTGGCAGAGGTGTAGCACAAGCCACAGAGGAGACACTGGGCTGTGGAACTGTCCACATGGTGCTGAGGTATGTGGCTCTGAAACTCGAGCCCCGAGTCTGTGGCAAAACTACATTTTGCACACTGAAAAAGGGACTTGTGCCTTTTGGTGGAAGAGACAGTTGCGCCATTGCTGGTGCCCGGGGCGTCCCCCACTCCACTGACTGGTCTTTTCAGATGGTTCACCTGCAAGGAGAGACAGTGTGAGCAGAGTCCAGGCCGAGCCCTGGACACGAGCCCCCAGACATGACCATGAGCCCAAGGGCTGAAAGCAGGTACCATCCAGGCCAGGGTCACCCTAGCCCTGAACACGAGTTTAGGTTTGCTATGTTCAGTTCTATTTGTTTGTTTTGTAACATATATGCACATGGCAAAACATCCCAAAGATATAGAGAAGAGTAAGTCCCTCCTACTCTACTCCCCAGGCCTGCTCTCCGAAGAACAGCACATTACCTGGGTTTTACGACTACTCCAATGGAGAGCCTATGCATATACAAAAACAAAACTGTTGTCTTTCACAAAACGATGGCGTGCCATGCTTACTTTTCTTCACCCTTCTTTTACTTAACATATATTAGAGAGTGTCTCCACGAGCGCACACAGAGGCTTCGTTCTTCTACTGGCAGCGCACTGACCACTGTGGGGATGCGCAGTGCCCACCGGCAGACGTTTAGTTGCATTCCATCCTTGTTACTGCACACAGCACTACGGGAACTTACTTGAACAGCCTTCTTTATACCCAAGGCCAGAGATCTCTAACAAATAAATCCTGGAAGCAGAACTGCTAAATCAAAGGCTATGTACATTTGGGGGAGAGGGGAGGATGTGCATTTTACTAGTGGATAAATGTTGCCGAAAACCCAATTGATACCCTACCTACTATGCATGAAAGGCCCTTTGCCAACCAGTGCCACTGTCTGAATAGCCAAGAAAGTTTCAGGAACGCCCTGGAACTCCAGGAAGCTCTCAGAGCTTCCCAGGCACACCAGGCCCCTCTGTGGAGCGTCCCCGCAACCTGGGCACAGGAAGAGCCCCAGTGAGTAGGAGAAATCAGGCTGCTCCAGAAGTTCACGAGAAATAGGAATCGAGCCGGGAACAGGGCCGAGGTCATAGGGCAAGGGCCATGACAGCAGGTGCTAGGCCTGGCTCTTCCCATACTGGCAGGAGGTGGGAGGTGAGCCTGCCAAGCATCATCCCCTCCCGGCACCGCTGTGAGGCAGAAACAGGGTGGCGTGTGAAAGTGCTCCGGTGTCCCAGACAGCAGCACACACCTAAAGCGGGGCCGCGGTGACAGGGACAACAGTAACCAAAGGCTGGCAGGCTGCCTTATGGGTCTTTGCCCTGTCCTCTACTTGTGTCCAGGACCCAGGTGGGTGACACAGGGCTAGAGAGTGACGCACACTGAGGGAAGCTGCCACTCTGATTGCTGCACGGCCACGACTACAAACAGGGTCCCAGCAGCCTTCCTGACGCCCGTTGGCTGCAGGCCTCGCCGAGCAGGCGGCTCCAGCGGGCAGAGCACACTTACCTGAGGGGAATGTCCGCTCGGAGACCTGACTTTGGACGACTGGCTCAAATCAGGGTTTCTGATGCCGTGCATAAGGCTGATGTGGCTCTCCAGGAGGGAGGGCCGAGGAAAGCTGGGGCTGTCCTCCACGCAGTACCTACAGGAGCACAGCGGAGGGGTCATGTGAGACCCCGGTTGCAGGCTCCCCCAGCACTCTTCACACAAAGGTGAGCGAGCGTCCGGAGCGAGCAGACAGCTGTGTCTTCAGGCTGGCTGGAGCTGGCGCTGCCTGGAGAGATCCAGCCAGCAGGCCAGACACGGTGGCAGACAACAACGAGTCAGAATAGAATATGTGTACTCCTGACACCTGGCCCTCAGCCCTGATCTCACCCTACAGTCCCTGATGTCACCACCCAGGGGTCCAAGTGCTGGGCTAGTGGTCAGTACGAAAGGGCCAGGGGACGTCCCAAGGCACAGGCAGATGGTGCTGAAGGCCCTTGGCTAGAAGAGCCTCTGTTCACATCACCGGCACGTCCTCTTCAGCCTCAGAGCCCTTCACGGCTGCCTGGCTGTGCAGCCCCAAGCAGGAGAGCGCGACGGGGCAGGACTCAGGAGCTACCAGGTTCTGACCTGCCCCTGATTTCCGACTTAGCCACAGTGCTCTTCTAGTTAGAAACTCACTAGTCTCTTGCTTAGACCCCTGATCTCACGGCAGAGAAAGCCCCGGCGATGCCATGGCCAGGGTCTTGTGAATCTTGAGCCTCGCTCACCACCATCCCTGGAGACTCACCCACAAGTGTAGACCTTCTTTGCTGTGTCATGGTTGTTGCGGCTGTGTTTGCGCAGGCTGCTGGGGGTGTGGAAGGACTGCTCGCACTGCCGGCACGGGTACCGCTTCAACGTCTAAGGGGGGAGGTGGCAACACACGAAGCAGCAGAACTGTAAGGCGGCTCTAGCTGCATCTTTCTTCTCAGACGCTATGGGCAGAACCAGGATGCTCCCAAAGGCCTCAAGCCCCGTGGGACTGAAGTACCCTGCCCAGAGCACCAGGAACCCTGAAGGGTCAGCCACATAAGGGGCATCTGACCCCACGTAAGTCCAGAGAATCTGGCACTGTACCGTGACCTGGTGGCTGCACTTACCCGACCGTGGCTCTTTTTCATGTGGGACACATAGCTTTCCCGGTCAGGAACCCACTCCTGGCACTCCTGGCAGGTCCAGCCAGTGTTCCTCAGCCGGGGCCTGGCTTCGGCCCTGCGATGCACTTCGGACCTGCCCCAGCGGCCAGATGGCAGGGAGCTGCTCCGGGCAGCCACATTAGTGGCTGGGGGCTCAGCGGGAATTCGAGAGCCAGGGCGGCTTGAGGACGTGTCTGCTGAAGACTGGAGGCTTGACAGCTCATCCACGTTTCGGGGAACACCATGGGTGCTCTGGGGATGAGGAGAGCAATTACTGACTGGGCGAGGGGAAAGATCCAGAGTCGGCCCCCCGGCCTGAGGTACGTGCCCTCCTCCCCAGCCTTCTCCCCCCAGGCACCCCACCTTGACATGCTCCATCAGCTCCGGCTTCTGCACGAACAAGAGCGGGCACTCGGGGCACTTGAAGACGCCCACCTGCGTCTGGCTGACATTCTGGTAAAAATGCTGCTGGATGTGCCTCTTCTTGTTGAAGAGCATTTCACAGGAGCACTTATAAATGAGCCTGACGAGACAAACCCCAGGGGATGGGGGGCCGTGGCCTGCTGGAAGAACCACAGAGCCCCTCCATCCTAGCTCTGCTCTCTCTGAACCAGAGTCAGGTTTGGGAAAGTACCACCCTGAGCCGATGCCTCAGGATGTCCTTAGGAGACTCCAGGCTTCCCGATCCATCCCCACACCACCCCCTCAAGCACCCGGGCCACTCTGCCCCATGGCGCCTGCTGGCCCTGGACCTGTACTCACTGGGAGGGTCTGTGGGGCTGGGTCGGATGCTGGCCGGCACTGTGGTCCGCGGCGCTGCTGGCAGTCTTGAAGGCCATGGGACAGAATGCACATTTGTGGAAAACCTGGCAGTGTCGCTCCTGGATGTGGCTTTTCAGCAAGGCCAAGGTCAGGTGGACGACACCACAGTGGATACACCTGGACAACAGAGTCGGGGCAGTGTGGGTGAGGCAGAAGGAAGGTCAGGCCCACAGGTGGTGCTGGGAGAGGAGCAATGGAGGGCAGGAGCAGAGCCATCCAGGGACTCTCCTCCTCCACACATACATCCTGAAAGCGCCCTTGCCGCCTTCTGGCACAATGCAGCCACACGGGGCCCCGTGCCCAAGGCCAAGCCTTGCAGAGAAGAAGGGAGAAACTCTAACCCTCCTCACACTGGCCATGAGACATTCTTCTGCAAACCAAAATCCCGAACCCACCTAAGAGAAGTTGGTGGAAGCAGAGGAGGAGGAGAATGGCTCAATAATGGCATAAATAGCATCAATATAAGAGTGACACGAGGGCCAAAGTCCAGGAAGAATTTCAGTAGGAAGCTGCACAAAGCCTGTGCCTCCCCACAGGCTGGTATTGAAAACTCAAGGATGGCCACCTAACAAAATCAGCAGTCAGGAAATGCTAAGCTCACCATAACGACGACATTAAGACAAACAACCCTTAAAGCCCAAGAAGAAATACTCTAGAGCAGTGTTGTCCAGTGGAACTTGCTGTGATGATGGAAATGTGCTATAGCTCCACTGTTCATGTGCTATTTAAATTAATAAAATTAAGTTAACGCTTCAGTTCCTTAGTCACACTGGCCACATTTCAAGTGCTCAGTTGCCACACATAGCTAGCACCGTCCTGGACCTCGCAGCTCTAAAGCGCTGTGATGTCTCTTTGGTGGGACTATGAATAACTTTTTATTTCTTTTTCTCCCTACTAATTTTTATTTTCTGAGGTTTTTCTTTTGGTGTTTATATATTTTTATAATATATGAGTAAATGAGAAAACAAACTGTCTTAAGTTATTTTTCTAAAGTTAAGGCTATATGGAACTCTTCTTTCAACTTCAAAATCCCTCTCTATAAATACTGCCTTTCTTTTTTTCAGTATCAGAGAAAGACATGAGCTTCCTGCATGCCAACCTGTGTCTAGTAAGTTTCCTGGTCCCTCTCATGTGTTCAGTTTCCTCCTGCCTGTAACACAGCCAGGTGTCTCCTACATGAGAAAACACCTTTCCTGCTGTTCCTCCTCTTCCTTTCATTACAATATTGCCTGCCCCTACAACCTTGACATCCCAAAAGGCACTAGAAGAGAGGTTGTTACTTTACTAAAACAAAGGACATGCCTTCATTTAAGAGTTCTTTGTACCCCAAATGTTACCCTTCGTTTTGCTACATTAGCCCATTTTCACAATCTACATAAACCATCACAGAATCTCACCAATCCATTGTCTTCCTTTTGTGTGCATGTTGGTGAGAAGGGGAGAGAATCACCTTTGCAAACTTAATTAGCAATGAGGAGCAGCCCACAGAACCAGAAAGCGGTTTGCAATTAACTCCAAAGAGCATTTATTACTAAATTTGTACATGCTTTAAATTAGGGTTTCTATACAAGCCATTTACTGAATTATATTTTCTTTTCTCTCCTGCTAAATAAAGTAGTGAAACCAACTTCTAGCACACAGAAGTACTTCCATATTATAAAGTATTCTATTTTTTTTTTTTTAGAGACAGATCTCACTCTGTCACCCAGGCTGGAGTACACTGGCATAATCACAGCTCACTGCAGCCTCAAACTCCTGAGCTCAAGAGATCCTCCCGCCTCAGCCTCCCAAATAGCTGGGAGTATAGGCGTGTGCCACCACACCCAGGCCAAAGTTTTATGAGGAGGAAAAAAACCCCACATATTTCCAAATTCATCCCAAGCGGCCAAGTACACCTGATATGTGTAGAGAATTTCTTAAAGTGGCTCTATTTATGCCATTTGACCAAACTTCTGCAGAAACAATATACTGTTCTCAAATGCCATTGAAAATCCATTCTATGTATCTGATAGAGATTCTTTGAGAAACCTCATGGAAAATAGGGGTAAAACATAAAGGGGTAAAAGAACACATGCAAAGCAGCCTCAGTGAAGGACTGAATCCGGCAGGGTTTACGAATGGGTGAGGAAGTGTGCAGAACAGAACTCCACCCGCATGACACAACCCTTGAACACATTTTTTAATAGAAAAGAGAAAACAGACAATTATAAAATTATATGCTGTAAAATATGTCAAGTTTTAGAAAAAATGAAGAGTGTAAAATATTTAACTTTGATAATAATCGCAAATAAGAAATTATTATTAAAGCAGTCTAAACTTGCTTCCCTGTGACATCATTGGCCACTCTCCAAATTATCAAAGAGCTGGAAAGTTATACAATTCTAAAATACATATATAAAATATATATATATATTCTACATAAAATACATACAAATAATATATATGTTAGAAAGTATGGGCTTTTTATACTGTCTTCAAGAAAAAGCAAAAATAATACAAAACATAAAATAACATTGTAAAACTGTAGTAGAGCTCAATAAAATGGAACATGGGTATTTTTTGAGAATTTATTAAACAACATTAACATCCACAGAATGGGAGAAAATACTTACAAATCACATATTTGTTTTTCAGTTTTTGGTGTTTTGTTTGTTTTAATAGAGATGGGGTCTTGCTCTATCACCCAGGCTGCAGTGCAGTGGCCTCATCATATGTAGCTCACTGCAGCCTCAAGCTCAAGCCATCCTCCTGCCTCAGCCTCCAGGGTAGCTGGGACTACAGGCACATGCCATCATACCCGGCTAAGCAAATCATGTATCTGATGTGGAGCTCTTACAACTCAATACGATGACAACAAACACCCAATTTAAAAATGGGCAAAGGATCCAAATAAACATTTCTCCAAAGAAGATATACAAATGGCCAATAAGCACCATTAACCATCAGGGAAATAAGATACCACTTCATATCCACGAGGATGGTTACAATCAAAAAGTCAGACAATAACAAATGTTAGAAAGGATACAGAGAAATAAAAAGCTTCATACACAGTGGGAATGTAAAAATGCTACTGTCACTTTGGAAAACAGTCTGACAGTTCCTCAAAAAGTTAAACATAGAGTTACTATTCGACCCAGCTATTCCACTCTTAGATAGATACCCAAAAAACTGAAAACGTATGTTCTCACGATAACTTGTACATGAATGTTCATTAGCAGCATTATTCATAATAGCCAAAAGGTGGAAGCCACCCAAATGTCCATCAACTAATGAACAGATAAACAAAACCTGGTATATCCACCCAATGGAGTATCATTCAGCCATAAAAAGGAAATACTGGTTGGGAACAGTGCATCAGGCCTAAATCTAAGCACTTTGGGAGGCCAAGGTAGGAGGATCGCTTGAGGCCAGGAGTTCAAGACCAGCCTGAGCAACATAGTGAGACCCCGTCTCTACAAAAAAATACAAAAATTAGCCGGGCACAGCAGCATGCACCAGTAGTCCCAGCTACTTGGGAGGCTGAGGCAGGAGGATCACTTGAGCCCAGGAGTTCAAGGCTACAGTAACCTATGATTGTACCACTACAATGCAGTCTGGGTGACAGAGTGAGACCCTGTCCCAAATTAAAAGAAAAAAAAAAAGGAAATACCGATATATGCTACAACATGGATGAACCTTAAAAACATTGTGCTAAGACCACATATTACATAATTCCATTTATATGAAATGTCCGGAAGAGGTACCTATGAGACAGAAAGTAAACTGGTGGTTTCCTGGGGGGTGGGGGAGAGAGATGGGAGAATTGATGGGTATGGGGTTTCTTTTCAGATGGTGAAAATGTTCTAAAATTGTTTGTAGTGATTGTAGAACTTTGTAAATATCCTAAAAACTACTGAATTGTATGGTATGCAAATTATATCACAAGAAAACTACAAAAAGGCATTAATAGTTGAGGATTTTAACTGTAAGAAACACTGTATTGGTGTGTATGTCTTCTGACTTCAAACACAGATCGCTGAATATTCTAATGTCCCCATCTTTAGTAATCCCTCTGGCTGAATCACAATACATTTTTGCCTGGCATTCCTTATAAAAAGGTTTGATAAATTGAACTGGAGACATTACATTTCTTCTCACTCTCATAGAATAAAATATTTAATTAAAAACAAAAAATGGTATTAATTCATCCATGTAATTGAAAAGTTCTTGGATTCAAGATTTAAAGATAAATATTTTAGTGTTGACTACATTGCTATTGGATTAGATTTGTTCTTTTCTCTTTTTCCTTTTTTTTTTTTTTTTAAAAGACAGGGTCTCGCTCTGTCGCCCAGGCTGGAGAGCAGTGGCCCAATCTCAGCTCACTGTAACCTCGAACTCCTGGGCTCCAGTGATCCTCCCGCCTCAGCCTCCCAAAGTGCTGGGATTACAGGTGTGAGCCACCGTGCCTGGCCTGGATTTGATCTTAGAACAAGCAGCATATACTTAAGGCAAAGTTAGAATATTCTTAAACGTTACAAGATACTGTGAAGGTACACATGCAGGTGTCTTGTTCACAGTGCGGGCTGGGAGGCTGTCAGCAGTGCTCCTCTGCAGTGCTGTGGTTGAGGGCTCTGCATGGTCCTGTCTCTGCATAGTCTTATTTCTCACGTACTTTAGAGTCTCCATCCTCCACAACACGCAAAAGAAATCAGTCTACGCTGGAAACGTTCACGCCAAGACAGAAACCTGGGAGGCATCACGAAACTCTCCCTATTCCTTACTCCCACATACAAGCTGTTATCAAATCTTGATGCTTCTACTTCTTAAACCTTTCTCAAATCTACCTTCTCTCCATTCCCATGGTCACGCCTCAGCGGAAGCCCACCGCATCTCATCTGGCCACCACACTTGCCTCGCAAGCAGTCTCCAGTCCCTCCCCTTGCACGTGGCAGCTTCTACAGAAACGATCTTTCTACAGCACAGACTGGCCGGGTTGCTCCCCTGCTGCACATCTTTCTGTAGCTCCTCACTGTCCACTAGATAAAGTCTAACTGTCTGCTGCCAAGGAGTCCGAAGTCTTGCATGACCCGACCCTGCCAACTCCCTGGTCTCATTTCTCCCACTCCCCCAGGTCGCCCTGACACACGTCCACACTCATCATTCCTGTAACCCCTTTCGTACACACTGGTATCCCTGCCCTGACCCTGGCCAGATGTGCTCTCTCTCTTCTGCCTGAAAACCTCCTAACGCGTCCTTGATGAAGCTTTCCTGACCATTCTTCTCTTAGGAGGCTCACCACTGAGCTATAATGACTTGTGCTCATATCTTTATGACCTACCAGACTGAAGGCCCCCTGAGGGCAAGGGCTGTGTCACCTGTATCCTGAGTGTCTAGCACAATGCTGAAGATAGTAATAAGTACACACACACAAGTCAAATGAACTAAATCGAAAATTTTTTAAATGCCAAAAAGAGAAAACTTTACTAAATTTGGTCAAGACTAATTTTCAAAAGTGAAACTGATGAAGTAGGAACTCCCAATTGTAGTAAATCAGTAAAGGAGACCTAACTGGATCAATGTAAAAGTTACAGATCGATGAGCTCTAAAGGGAGTTTTCTCTCCCCCTTTGATCTTTGTCCTGAAAATGACTTCTTGCTTATATGTTTGAAAAAATAGAGGAGATTCTATTTAAAATAAGGGTTTTCTTGGTTTTTGAGGCTGATCATTTTTTCCATTCTTGGGTTTTGTCTATTTCCCACAAACTGACAAAAACTAACAAAAATGAAGACACTAGAACCCTTTGAGTTTGGCATCTTGCAGCCCCATTTGTTAAAACCTGAGAAAACTTTTAAGTACTACAATTAGTAAAGTTATTATTGAAACAGTAATTTAAACTTAATATGCCAAACATAACTTTGTAAGCAAATTGATATACTTTTAAAAAGTGAATGTTATATATGTTCCAAACTCACCAAAACCTTCCCCCTTCAAAGCTATTTTTTTAAGTTTTTAAAACCCTTTATTCTTCTCCCCCTTGCTCTTCCTGTCCTATACAAAACAAAAATATCTATCCATACACCAACCAACGTTCTTGTCCTGTTAGGCTGGAACCCAGGCCTGCCTCTTAAGACCCAACTATCTGAAACGAGTTCTAGGAAAAGGACCAGCCATTGGGCAATACCAGGACAGTGAGCCAGGCAGCACCCACCTGTAGCCCACCTTGCGGGCATAGTGCAGGCAATTCTCCTTTACATGGGTCTGGAAGTAGGCAGAGCGACAGAGGACCCCACACTCCGGGCAGCAGTAGGGGGACTTGTGTGCATGAATCCGCTGGTGGGCACAGAAACTGCACTGGTTGGGCAGCAGCATCTGGCATACCTGGCAAGTCTAGGAAAGAACACCAAGAAAGCAGATCATGCAGGTGCCACAGGCCTGTGGCTCTCCACTCGGAGCTTGGCTTCCTAGGACATGGTCAGAATAAGCCCCCTTCCCCAACCACTCTTTCTTCCAACTCTCCTAGGATATTTTTGACACTCCCAGACCTCATTCAAAGTGTTGATACTGACACCCAGGCAAGCTTTGCCTACCACCTTATTAATCAGAGACAGACCTGACCTTATTTTCTCAAAGGTTAGTTCTACCTCAAGGATGATGAATATTTCTTTCCTCTGGCTTAGCAGAGGGCTAGCTTTTCCTTTATGGAGGCCAAAGGTACTTGTTGAATTCTAAGACCTCAATGCACTGCCAGACCCACCAGGGTCTGTGTTTCAGCTCAGCAGAGGCAGTCCTTGCCAGCCACCTCCCGCAATGGCCTGGTGGATACCTGCTTAGCACCTCGAGTCAGATGGTTCAGTGACTTCCAAAGAGACCGGGGCCCACCCTGACTGGTACTCAGAAGGCCCTCAATGCAGACTGACCTAACTGAATGGTCTTGCCAGCTTCCATCACCCAGCCCTGTCTGCCCACTCTGGGGGAAGGGGGTTCTCTGAGCCACAGCTAACCAAATACATGCACAGACAAGGGAGGATTAGGGAGCAGCTCCTTTGTTCCCAGCCCCAGCAGAAAACCAGGGGAAGTGTAAGCCAGAGATTCAGTGAAGCTCTCATGGGCAGAGCAGAGATAGCCCAGAGGGGGAAAGCAACAGGATGAGCTGGTGCCTGCATCCTGCAGAGGTCCTCCTGAGCTTCTAGTAAAAGGCGGACACCGGTACTGCTCACCGAGGGGGCCACTGACCTTGGGTCAGAGGAGTTGCTTACAGGGAGAAATTACTAGGGAGGACAAGAAAAGATCTCTACTTTAATCAGCAAAATCCAGAATATAGGCCCTCTACAGGACAAACAATCCAGTTTTTTCAACAAATTGCAAGGGGGGAGAATGGACAGAAAGGGAAAGGAAACTTAGAGAGGAAAAGAGATTGAAGAGATATTTTTAACCACTTATGATGTACCGCACTTATATGGATCCTGATTCAAACAAGCCAAGTGTAAAGAGAAATGAGACAACCAGAGGTATTTAAACACTAACTTAATAAATGATAATATTAGGACCTTAAAAAATATTAGGACATTTGACACTTGTAATTAAGATTTGATACTAAAAATTATTATTGATTTTTAGAAGTGATATTATATTTATGTTTCTCTAAAAAACCCTTTATCTTTTAGAGATACATACTAAAGCATTTACAGATACGATAATGCTAGGATTTAAAAATGATCCATCCACTGGAGAGAGTGGTGGGTAAGAAACGAAACGAAACAAGATGGGCTATGGGTTGGTAAATGTTAAAGGAGGGTTCATTATACCATTCTTTCCACTTTCATGAATGTTTGAGACACTCCATAATAAAACGTTTTAGTTTTTAAGTATCTACTCTAGGCACAGAACAGCATTACAGTATGCTACCTTTTGTGTAAGAGCAGGGGAATATAACACACACACACACATATTTGCTAGTAAATAAAAAATGAACAAAAATGGTTACCTACGGGGAAGGAGGGAATTGGGGACAGGGAAAGGGATGGAAGCAAGACTTCCTTGAATGTACCTTGTCATAGTTTTAACTTTGGAATCACACAAATGTTTTATATAAGTCAAAAAGAACAATATAAAATAAAATAAAGATTCCCTAAAAATTGAAAAACAGAAGCAAATAACCTAAATATATATCAAGTTGATGATATAATCACACAGAGAAAAAAAATTATTCCTAGTGACCTCAAAACACAGTATTTTGACATACAAAACCTCAGCATGATATATTCTAAGGGCAAAAAGAACTGCAAATGCATCTAACCTGTATGCAGCTGTCCTAATGTTGGACATACTGGTTTTGATATTTTGTAATTTGTATATGTGTATACGTGGGTGTATATGTATACATGCGTGCGTACGTGTGTGTGTGCGTGTGTGTGTGTTTGTGTGTGTGTGTTTGTGTGTGTGTGTATAAATACAGTCATCCTTCAGTATCTGTAAGGAATTGGTTCCACGATCCCCAAGGATACCAAAATCTGATGCTCAAGTCCCTGACGGGAAATGCATAGTATTTGCATATAACATGCACACATCCTCCTGTATACTTAAATCACCTCTAGATTACCTGCAATACCTAATACAATGTAAATGCTATGTAGATATTAGTAGTTGTTATACTATATTGTTAAGGGAATAATGAGAAAAAAAATCTGTACATGTTCAGTATAGACACAATTTTTCCCCCCAAATATCTTTGATCCACAGCTTGTTAAATCCAGGCATGCAGAACCCACAGATACGGAGTACCAACTGTAAAAATTTATAAATATATATAGAGAGAATAGGAAGATCTTAGGAATCAAGATTTTTAGTATTAAATCAATTATGTAAAAACTCTATCATATTGGCCAGGCGCGGTGGCTCACGCCTGTAATCCTAGCACTCTGGGAGGCCAAGGCACATGGATCGTTTGAGCTCAGGAGTTCGAGACCAGCCTGAGCAAGAGCGAGACCCCGTCTCTACTAAAAATAGAAAGAAATTAGCTGGACAATTAAAATATACACATAGAAAAAAAGTTAGCCGGGCATGGTGGCACGTGCTTGTAGTCCCAGCTACTCGGGACGCTGAGGCAGGAGGATCGCTTGAGCCCAGGAGTTTGAGGTTGCTGTGAGCTAGGCTGACGCCACGGCACTCTAGCCCGGGCAACAGAGTGAGACTCTGTCTCAAAAAAGAACAAAAAACAAAAAAAACTATCATCTTGAATTTGAATTTGTATAAACTCATGGTTTTTCTTTCCTTTTAAAAGTACGTATTTCCTATGGGCGGGCATGGTGGCTCATGCCTGTAATCCCAGCACTTTGGGAGGCTGAGGCAGGATGATACTTGAGCCCAGGAATTTGAGAACAACATGAACAACACAGCAAGACCCCATCTCTACAAAAAAAATAAAAATTAAAAAAAATTTTAAAGTATGTATTTCCTAGCTCTGGCTACTGACAAGGCCTAGAAACAAAGATAAACCCAGCAGCAAGGAGCATATCTAGTGTGCTGATTGTGGCTTCTCAATACCATTCCTCACTAAAAGAAACTTGGTTTCTTGGAAAAATGAATGATTCGGGGTTTAACAAAGAAAGGTGTCCAGGTCATCTTTTTGGACTGAAAACAAGGAAGCTTCTCAAGGATTGAGTTGATGGCAAAAGGACAAAGGAGCCAGCTTGAAGGGGCTCCCACTGACCAAAGATGGGATAACTTGAGCATGAAAAAGAATGACTGAGTACCTATTAATTAATATACTGAATATACTGAATTATGAATGAACTCATAAAACTAAATGAGTTCATTATAATGCTAAAACTAAAAACAATAGAGGAGGTCACTTCATACCCATTAGGATGGCTACTACCAAAAAAACCCAAAAAATAGTAAGTGTTGACGAGGACATTGAGAAACTAGAACTCTTGTGCCCTGTTGGTGGGAATGTAAAATGGTGCAGCTGTGTGGAAAACTATGGTGGTACCTCAAAAATTTATATGTAGAATTACTACATGTTGTAGCAATGCCACTTCTGGGTATTCAAAAGAACTGAAAGCAAGATCTCAAAGAGATATTTGTACACCTATGTTCATAGCAGCATTATTCATAATAGCTAAAACATGGAAACAACTCAAGTGTCCATCAACATATGAATGAACAAAATGTAGTCTACACACACAATGAAATAGTATTAGTCTCAAAAAGGAAGGAAATCCTGACACATGCTACAACATGGATGAACCCTGAGGATATGCCAACTTTAATAAGCCAGTTACAAAAAGGCAAATACCGTATGATTCCACTTACATGAGGTACCTGGAGGAGTCAAACTCACAGAGACAGAATATATAATGGTAGCTGCCAGGGGTAGGGAGAGGGGGAGAAATGGGGAGTTATTCTTTAAGGGGTAAAGAGTTTCAGTTTTGAAAAATGAAAAGAGTTCTGGAGATTGGTTGCACATTAATGAGAATATACTTAACATTAACACTACTGAACTGTACACTTAAAAGCAGTTAAGATGGGAAACTTCATGTTATGTATGTTTTACCACAATTTAAAAAAAAAATAGAGGAGGGACTCTTGGAACACCATTTGAGATTGTTAGGACATCAACTCACTACTCTGAAACTGTTATTTAAAGGAAACTGGTCAGGAGCAATAGCTCACACCTATAATCCCAGCACTTTGAGAGGCCAAGGCAGGAGGATTGCTTAAGGCCAGGAGTTCGACATCAGCCTGGACAACATAATGAGACCCCATTCCTATAAAAAATAAAATTAAAAAAAAAAAAAATAGCTGGGTGTGATGGCATGTGCCTGTAGTCCCCGCGACTTGGGAGGCTGGAGCCAGGGAGATCACTTGAGCCCAGGGAATGGAGGTTACAGTCGGGCCACTGCACTCCAGCCTGGGCAACAGAGTAAGACCCTGTCTCTAAAAAAACAAATAAATAAAGGAAACAAATTAACTATTCCATTTTCTAGCATAAACTATATTTCAGAGTAACCAAAAAGCCCTTAAGGAAGCAGGAAAGATATTTTATACAGAATTCCAGCCAATAAATGAGAAAGAAATAATGAAATTAGAAAAACTCTTTGGAATTCTTAATAAAATTAGACTCAAGCAAAGATTACTGATGGATACTAACATCAGTAGGTAAAAAGTGGAGAGCTTTACAGCGAAGGGATCAGAAGATCCCCACTTACATTCACTGATCAAGCATCATTAACAGTGAGACAATCGGGCGCTTTGGGCCTCCTGAAGTCACAGAACAGGAAGAACACAGCATCCCCACCTCTGTCAAGACGAACCTGAATCTAGTCAAGTCTTTATTGCTAACTTCCAGTCTACAGAAAAAACACAGAGTATAGAGGGAAAAATTACTTGCGTAAGGAACCCATCAGTGAAACTCGAAATGTCCTGGAAAACTCAGGAAGCAATCAGTCAAACCCAGAACTGTCCTGGAAAATTCTCAAGACACATGACCCAGTTTCTTCAACAAGTCAATGGCATGAGAAAAAGCGGAGTGTCTGGTTGGGTGGAGCAGAAAGAGATACTATTCCAGATTGAGCCATTTAAGAGACATAAACAAATGTAATGTGTGGCCCATGTTGTGGATCCTGATTCAAAATAAGCCCAAATGTAAAAAAAACATTTTTTTACATAACTGGAAAAATCTGAATATGAACTTGTATTAAGTAATATAAAGCAACTGTTACGAATTTTCTTAGGTGTGATAATGACAATATAGTTACATAAACATTTAAGAACAAGAAAAACAGTCCCTCTTTCCTGATATTCTGCCCCCACCTTGTTGGGATATGCAAGGGGGAAAGATGAACAGAGTCCCTCAGTCACTGCCGAGAGCGGCATATTCCAGGGACAGACTCCCAGAAGAAGATGGAAGAGCTGAACACAAGCTGTACCCTGCAGGCCCTGCTCTGGCATGGAGTCTAATCGATTCATCCAGCCCCTGCCCTGGACATGTGGCCTGAAGCCCACATACTGTCATGTGGAAACCCAAACCCAACAGACATCAAAACTAGTTTTTTTGGTTTTTTTTTGAGACAGAGTCTCACTCTGTTGCCCGGGCTAGAGTGCCATGGTGTCAGCCTAGCTCACAGCAACCTCAAACTCCTGGGCTCCAGCAATCCTCCTGCCTCAGCCTCCCAGGTAGCTGGGACTACAGGCACGTACCACCGTGCCCCAGCTAATTTTTTCTATTTTTAGTTGTTTTGGCTAATTTCTTTCTATTTATAGCAGAGATGGGGTCTCACTCTTGCTCAGGCTGGTCTTGAACTCCTGAGCTCAAGCGATCCTCCTGCCTTGGCCTCCCAGAGTGCTAGGATTACAGGCGTGAGCCACCGCGCCGGCCGGAGACTAGTTTTTGATCCCAGAGCTAAAGACTTACCCTTCCCCTGAGACTCAGAGGCCACATTTAGTTGCATGAGATTTTCCGAGGGATTTGAGCTAGGCTGAGAGAAGCCTAACAGCCACCCTGGCCACTCCTGTCCTTCCTGTCAGGGGGACTCTTCTCTGACTCCCACACTAGGGGAGAATAACAAAGAAAGATGCAGGATGAAAAGGTTGCCAGCCTGGGATCCTACATCCAGACCTCTGCCTACTCAGATTTTAGCAGATGTGTAAGGAGCAGTGCGAAAAAAACCACAGGCCCAGACATCAGACCCCCACTGCCAAGGGTCCTCATCACACGACACAGAAAAAGCACTGACCCGACTCAGCCACGCTGGTACAGCAAGAACACTAAAGCCTCTGGGGAAGGGGCCCCTGGTAACCACGCTCCGTCTGACTCATCAGAAGGAAAATGCAAACTGAAACAGGAGGGGGAGATGAGAGGCCACAGACTGATTCTACAGCACCTCCTGGCCCCCTCCGGGGTCTCGGCCCTCTGCAGAAGGCCCGCAGACCTACCAAACTCAACTGCCAGCCTCTACCCCAACACTCCCAAGGCCAGCCTCCCACCCACCAACTCCTTGCTCCTCGATTGCATTCTATACTTTCAGACCTTTGTTCCCTACACCTGGAACACCCTTGGCCCTCCCCCTCCTCCAAACTCATCCTCGCAGGCCCAACTTAAATATCACCTCCACACTGCACCTTCCTTATGCATGGACTCACCGTGAATTAGTCCCTCTGAGGCACTCTGTGCAACTAGGTTTGGAATCCTGTTTTAGCTCCAATCTTAGATCGTATATTGTAGCTGTTTGGGTGATGACCCTGGCCCTTGCTAAGCCACTGTGAGCCCCCGGAGGAAGGCAGGACTCCCACTGGCGTCCTCTACTCGGCACACAGCCCCCACGCACAGGGGGCACTCAGAAAACATGTGCAAAGCTCATTAGCTACCAACATGTGCATAGGCGGGCTGTACTGAAGTAAAAATAGCTGTTTTGCTTTCCCCCCAGGCCTCTGTAACCCTGGCTTAGGGAGGCATGGTGAGGGGTAGGTTCGGGTATGTCATGAAGAGAACCACCTTCTGGGGGCATGTCTGGAGGCCTCCTTCTTCACAGAACTTGATATATAACATAGACAGCCACCACACAGAGGGTACCAGAGGGTATTCTCAGCACAGAATGCCCTTTTTAAAAAAAAAAAAAAAGACCAGATCTCATCAAGCATAACCAAGAATCAGAACAAGCAGATGAGCACAGCTGCTTTTCTGGAATGCTGAGAGAACATGGTTTAAAGGACGGGGCCCCAAAAGCCTCTGCCGCAGGGCCCACGTGTCTACCCACTCTCCCTCCCTCCACCTCAGCCCTGCCACTGCCCTACTGCAGTTTCTCCAAAGGGACTCCGCAAAATCAGCCGTGTCCACTGTCGGGCAGAACAATAACTCATTGAAGACGTGCTTCTGAGAAGAACAGACCGAGGTGCAGGGCAGTGACTCACCTACCTCTGCCCAGGTTCTCTGGGCACGTGCTAAGCCTGTGCTGAGGCCTGCCAGAGCCCAGGAGACTGTCCGGTAAAGAGCTCTCTCGGCCGGGCAGTGGCCCTGACAGCGCGCTGGAGTGGGAGCCAAGCGGAAGACGGGGCACGTCCACAAACACACTCGCTACGTCTCCAGGGTCTCTCTTACCAGGCGCCTTTCCCAATAAACCCCAAGCACTATATACTCAGGCAGGTCACCACCCATCCAATCAGACATCCTCTTCTCAGACTTCTACGATTCTGCCACTGCCCCTACAGCAATGAGCTCTTTTCTCCACGTCCAGTTCCAATCAAGGAACTGATGTGAGCCAGGGGCCCGACACCCATCACAGTGAGGGTCTGCTTACCAGCCCCTCGGTTTCCTCTGTCGTCCTCTGGAAATGTGCAGCCAGGACCATGTAGTCCCGCATCTGTTTGTGACATTCAAGACACTTGACTGAGTACCGGATGAGCCTCACCGGGTCAGGGTAGAGCGGCAAGGCTGGAGGAGGGGGACTGGCACTGTCCGAAGTGAGGCCATGTTTGGGGGAGGATGAGGGGGCCGGGGTTGCTGGTGCCGTGGAGTTCGCAGGGGCCGACACAAACATTTGGTCCGCAGAGATGGGCTTCACCAGCAGCTGGGAGCACTGCATGACGAGCCCCTTGCTCTTGTGGTCGCGGGCATGCCGCAGCAGGCTGCACTTGTTGAAGAAGAGCAGCGTCTTGGAGCACAGAGTGCACAGCACCTCGATGTGGACGCTCCGCCGGCCGTAGTGCTGGCTCAGGCTCTTCTCTAAGGCAAACGCGTCCCCACACTCCAGGCAGCAGTACCCACTGGCCGGCACGTGGATCCTGCTGTCCGCAGGCGGGCTGAGATTTGGCGCATAGAGGGGCACGGGGTTGGAGCTGTGGAGGACCTTGTTGAAGACCTCCACAATCAGTGGGGCGGCCTTTTTCACCTGGTGGACCAGGGGCACCGACATCTGCGTGAGCTGTGGCTGGTTCCGTCTCTGCGCTGAGGACTTGGCTGTCACTGACGCGGCAACGCTGTGGGGCACGAGGTTCAGGTTGGCCAGGTGCACCGCTTTGGGAAGGAGGCTGGCAGGGGCCGGGGTAGACACCTGCAGTGCTGTGCTCTGCTGCTTCCTGCCCGTCTGTGAGCCCGGCGCAGCTCCCTTTGGGACCCGGGGCCCCGAGCTGCAGCAGGGAGACGAAGAGTCACTGGCCTTTGTCATGCTCTCATCTCCTTTCCTGTCACCCTGGGGGCTCCCTGAATTTGCGCCTGCCTCAGGAAGGTGCTCCTCCACAGGCACTTCGTCCCCTGGCACCTCACTTGGGGCCTCAGCAATGGCGCTCCCCAGAGGTGACCCGATAGGAGACTTACTCGGATCGTCAGGGTCTGGTAGGATCCTTGTGACGGTCCGTTTGATTTCCCCTGATGATGTCTTAATGGTTTTGATTCTGACTTTGGGAATCGCTGGTGGGGAGCTGGCAGCCACAGAAGGGGAGCCTTTGCTGCTGCTGTCACTGCAGATGCTCCGAGGGCTGTCCGATGGCTTGATACTTTTTCTAGTGGCCTCCAGAGGGCTCCGGGGACTCTTTGGTGACTTGGGCATTTTGGGGCTGCCTTTAGAACCCTCTTTAGTGGGCCCTGAGGCATCCTTTGTGTGGCCAGCCTGATCCTCCTTAGTGACACTGGCCACTCTTTTGGCCTGTAGGGCCACCAAGGCTGCCACACAAGAGGACAGCTTAGAATGAGCTGGCTTAAGACGCTGCCGAGGGGGGACTGATGAGCAGGTACCAAGCTCCCGGGCAAGCCCCTTGGGCTCCCCGACACTGTTGCTAGGGTGGCTGTTGAACTCCAAAGCTTCCCCAAAGAATCGACTGGCATCCAGCTCTTTGTGAGACTCCACTGCCTTCTGCCCACCTTGCTCGTTCTCCTGCTGGCTCCCCAAGGGCAGGGGTTCTGGCTTGGGTTCTTTCTTACAAAAATGATCAAACATATGCAGCTCTGGGACTGGAAACTTAGCCAGAGCCTCCAGGACTGGGCCTCCCACAGCCCCACACCCAGGAGGGGGTGGGAAATAACTGTCAGAGTGCTTGGGCTTTATCCCAAACCCGTTATCTTTGATGGGATCCTCGGGTTCGGGGCTGGAGATTGGACTGAACTGGTTGAAGGTGGGTAACGGCTCTGACTTGGGAGGCTCCAGCTTGCCAGGGAAACTCCTGGCACTGTCTCCATTCATGAAAGTTGAATCAAACTTCCCACAGTTGTGGGGATCTGGAGGCAGGTCTGAGCCCCGGAATCCATTGTGTAGGAGGGTGGGAGCAATGTGGTCTTTCTCCGCTTCAAATGACTCCTGGCGGCTGGTATTCTTAACAATGACACTCACGGCCGGCACATCTGGGGCTGATCCTGAGTGAGACAAAGACACACTTTCATCCATACACATGCCTGGCGGTTTGAGGGGACTCTCATTCTCCTCACTGGGCGTCTGGATGGCCTCCTTGGCGTCAAGGCTGGTGGGGTCTGGGATGTCAAAAGCAGCCAGAAGGTCATCGAAATCTGGGGTTTTCATATCCCCCATGGCTGGATACTGGAAAGGGCTATAACAGAAACAGAGAACAGAATCAGTGACCACCAGGGTCCCACGGGACTTCGTCTTGCATCATCTTCATGGCTCGTCACACTGACACACACACACACAGTCAGCACGCCCACACAGAACCTTAAGTACTGTGATAGGAAATCACATACCTGAGTTTTACCCCCACAGGTTTCTAGAACACTGGAATAGTAGGGGGAAAAATGAAAAGAGAATTTTGTATGTAGTGACAAGCCTGCCTGGCAGGTCTTAAACCTCAATACCTGGAAATTCCTCACTTGCTGCATAGCCAAAAAAAAGGGTACACTCCTACCACACTCCCTCAGTTTCTCAGGGAACATCATTACTCCATGATCATGTACGCTAGCAAAAAGCCAATCACTCAGCCCTTTAAAAAAAAAAAAAAAAAAAGCATGGTTCAGCACTTCCTTTAGAAAACATTTGATTTGTACATGAGACTTGGCTATAACTTTCTCTGATAGTTTACTCTTAGTAATTACTCACTAACTTTATATAACTTTGGGGGTTTTTTGCTACATGAATTCAATCAAATCCAAAATGACTTGCTATTGCCAGGATTTGTGTTGTCTCATGAATAAATTCTAGAAAATTGTATCGTCCTCTAGGTATTTTTTTTCTCTACTCAGCCGACACACTTGATTCCTGGATTTTCACCCTAAAATTGTTACTGGTTGGTAAATGGACCATTAAACCTTAGGAGCAGGGTGACGTGCAAGGTACCACACAGTTATCAAACTGGCCAAGTGACAGTTTGGGGGAAGCCTAAATTCTATTTTAACTTTATATACACAAAGAAGAGGATAACGATTCTATTTTAACTTGATGCACCTGTTTCCTTCATGATCTGGGGATGCACAGCTACAGAACTATTGTGCAGGGGAAACCCAAGGCCCTAGAAAGAGGCCTTCCAGTAGGAAATTATCACAACACTCACACTTAAGATGAAACATGAAACTGGCTGGCTCAAACCTGCCGGAGGAGGGAGAAAAACCTCACCACCTCGCTTGCTCAGCCTTTAAATCCTGCATCTGCTTCAGCATCCCAGGATCTTTCTGGCTTACATATTTCTTACACCATGTTTGTGCTGAAAACCCTTCCGGATGCAGAGGGACACAACTCTTTTAGACAGCAGTGTGGTAGCTGCATAGAAACAGTGAGTGGCAAACTCTGGGTCCTGGAACCCCATTTCCAGAAATTTATCCTAAGAACAAAACTTCCCAAAAGCTATGTGCAAAACTGTATCCTATAGCATCATTAAAACAGCACAAAAGAGACATACGCAAAAAAGAATCTAAATGTCCGAGACCAGGGAATGGCTGAATACTAGATGGACTATTAAGCAGTCATCAAAAATTCTAATTATGAAATCTACATAGCAACAAAAGTAAAAAATTACTTTTAATGCTAAACTTAAAAAGACTAATAAAAAATGTTGTCATTATAACAATATAAAACTAAGTATGCATCTGAGCCAAGATTAAAAGAAAAATAATTATGCAGAGTATGTAATTATTGCTACGTTATTTTTTCAAAACTTTTTTGGGGGGGCTAATATATGAGTTTTGTGATTTTTAAAGGAGAAAATAAAGGAAAAATCATTTAGAACCACAAGGGGAGCAGGTGGCACAGCAAAAGTGTATCTCTTACCACCCCAGGGGATCAACAGGTTTGCATGTTTAGCTCCTTCCCCTCTCCCAACTGCCTGCGAAACCCATCTGCCTGCATAAGAGTTCACACAGAAAATGAAAACTATACTCCTCCTCCCATTGGGAAGATACCTAATTATGGTAGGTAATAATAAAGTGAAATACCAATTATCTAAATATGGGTTGGCAGAATACCCCACTGGAATGAGATGTAAAGTTTCTGGACAGAACAAATGATTGTCTCCTAGAATAGAAGGTGCTGGAGCCCATGGACAGGGGAGTATGCTGGATATCACCGAAAATACCGGGCATCCCAATACCAAGGGAACCACTCTGTAGGGAGAGCATAACTATAAGAAAATACCCACATATGTGCTTTAATAAGCTCCTCCCTCCCTCCCTCCCTCCCTTCCTTCCTTCCTTCCTCTTTCTTGTTCTTTCTTTGTTTTAAATGTCTAGAGAAGAAAAGATTGGGGGAGAAGGGCAGAATAGATTATTCCTTTTTTTTTTTTTTTTTTTTGAGACAAAGTCTCACTTTGTTGCCCGGGCTAGAGTGCTGTGGCGTCAGCCTAGCTCACAGGAACCTCAAACTCCTGGGCTCAAGCAATCCTACTGCCTCAGCCTCCCGAGTAGCTGGGACTACAGGCATGAGCCACCATGCCCGGCTAATTTTTTCTATATATTTTTAGCTGTCCAATTAATTTCTTTCTATTTTTGGTAGAGACGGGGTCTCGCTCTTGCTCAGGCTGGTCTCGAACTCCTGAGCTCAAACAATCCGCCTGCCTCGGCCTCCCAGAGTGCTAGGATTACAGGCGTGAGCCACCGCGCCTGGCAGATTATTCCTTTTAAGGCGCCCAGAAAAGCATGCAGGAGAGGAGGGGAACAGGTGGTGGTGTGTGCAAGGATTAGCTGGGAGCCCACTGCTGTCTCACACAAAGTTGCAGGGGTTTGAAGCAGAGATTACATCAAAAGAAAGTAAAGTTCTCCTCACAGAGAAATCTCAGGGATTGGCAGAGAATGGTCAGGGATAAAGTAAATATCTTTTGCTAGGAAATCAGAGCTAGTAAATAAATAGTGTGGCAGTCCAACATGGGCAACAGGAAAAACCTTTATAAGGATTTTAAATGCCAAAGTTGAAGGCTTTAAAAGCCAAATATCACATCATGTTTTCTATTTAGCCCTGGTAAGAAAAACTGAAAACAGCAGAATTGATAACAGTGAATGAAGGACTCTCCGTGTACCTGTGTGTTTGTATTTCTTCAAACCTTACTCTAAAGTGAGTATTGCATTTGTTATAAATAGAAGATAGAAATTAATCAAAATGTACTGTTATAAAAGCAAAAGAAGAAACAGTAAAGAAAAAGACAACCAATAAAAAGTTCTATTCATTGAAAACCTGCCAGCACAAAGTTAAAAGGCAAACAACAAACCAAAAGGTATGTATGTTTGTACATATAGTTACTGTCATTAATATCTTAATATAGTAAAAGCTCTTACAAAACACTAAGTAAGAGATAAGCAATCCATTAGAAAAATGAGCTTGGGAGTAAAAAAAAAAAAAAAATGAGCTTGAGCTAAGGTGATGAGCAGGCAATTAAAAGAAGAAACACAAATGGACAATTAATATATAAAAACAGTTGCAAACTCACACGAAATTAGAGAAATACAAATTAAAATAATGAGAAACCATTTTTGGCTTATCAAATTGACCAAGGTTTTCAAAAAGTAATAATCCCAGTGTTGGCAGAGATGTGGCAAAATAAGCATTCTAAAGGTAGCATAAATTGATACAATCTATCTAAAGAGCAATTTAGCAATGCATAAAAAAAGCCCAATTAATGCACTTCCAGAAATTTATCCTATGGAAATAGAGACGATGTGACAAAGATAATCATTACAGAATATTTATAATACAAAAAGGAGACAAAACCTAAAGATCCAACAAAAGGAAATTGGTTCAATAAATTACGATATATTAATACAATTAAATGAGGCATCATTATAAATCATATTACAGATCAAAATTAAGGCTATGAGAAATAGTCCTGATAAAAAGTGAGAAAAAAAAGAATACTGAAGTATAGTACAATAAAGTAAAATTAAATATATATATGTATGTGTGTATATACACACACACACACACACACACACATATATATATATATATTTTTTTTTTTAAGAGATGAGGTCTTGCTCTGTCATCCAGGCTGAAATGCAGTGGCACAATCATAGCTCACTGCAACCTCGAACTCCTGGGTTCAAGCGATCCTCCTTGCCTCAGCCTCCCGAGTGGCAGGGACTACAGAGGGGCACCACAGTCCTGGCTAACTTTTTAAATACATATGTTTTATGAAAAAGGCTAGAAGAATAATCCAAAATGTTAAAAAGTATCTCAGCAGATAATGAAATTATTTTCTTTCTTTTGTTTATCTTCATTTTCAAACTACTTCAATTTGTAGTACTTAAGTAATTTTATTAAATTATACTTTTAACATACAAAAAAAAGAAGAAACTAGGCAGGCCAAAAAAATTTGAGGAGCTCCTTACACAGTACTCTGAAAATCATTAATATAAAATTCTTAAAGCACATTTGGCATGACTCAGCAGAAGAAGGCTAACTAGAAAATCAATGGGGTAACTTAATTAAAATAAAAAGTGTAGCTGAAATAAAAAGCTTTAGCATACACCAGTGTCTGCAACTTGTTGAAAGCAGCAAGCCAAAGCTGGGAAGAGCAAACCACAGGCAGCTGTCTACCTTGCCTGGGGGCAGCCACTGGGGGGCCAGAGCCACGCCCACGAACACCAGCAAGGAGGCAGGGCCCAGCCTGAGAAGCATCTGGCAGAGACTCACCCTGAAGCATCTGAACCAGCCAGGCAGATCCAAGCCTGGTGAGCTCACAGAGTGATCTAGAGTGGCCCAGTTGACAGGAAAGACACGTCACGGGTTCTCTGTGGCCTGGGCTGAGAGCAAGTTTCACCCAAAGGTGAGACAGTGGAACTATGCATCAGTATGTACAACCCACTTGGGGGTAAAGAACAACTCCAAGACCGGCAGACTGACACTCATCCCCTCTCAGAATAAGTTTTACTTCAGGAAAGAACTGGAAGCTTATTTAAAAAAAAAAAAAGCTGAATATAAATTCACGCTATTACAGGGTCTACTAGTTTGCCCAGGTCATTTTACCAAACACTTAAGTAAACGTATCGACCGGATGGCAGGAAGGAGCATCTTAACCTTGGAAAGGCCTCAGAGGCCTAACTAGTCTATTAGAATTCTTTGAGGGTACAAAAACAATATGATTATATATAATTATGGCAGAACCAGTAGGTAGAA